GAATATATAGTTATCATTTTTCAGAGGCTAGAGAGCCTGTATGTTCTAAATTTGCATATGAAGAACAGCTTTTAGAGAAAATGATAAGAACTGAAATTAAGGTAGAAACAATGGTGAATGAAATTAAGAAAACTGAGGATAATATCATCAGTACATTAGGTTACATTAAACAAACAGTTGCTGATTTTACGGACATGTTTGCCGATATGAGAGGGAACATAACGGACGAGATGTTGAAGAGAGTAGAAGAGATCAAAGGCAGAGAAGGTATAATAGAACAGTATATCAAATAAAATATACATTTCTTATAAAAAAAACAACTCTAAATGCTAAGTTTAAGATACTTTATATACAAACTATTGTATTTTTGTGGTGTCTCAGGCAAGGGAGCTAAACGATGAATTTTAAATATATAACGTTAATTGAGTAACTCCCCCTAGCGTGACAGCTCCAAACTTATGAGATGTAATGCTCGTGCTTTATACACTGAATTACAGCTTTTGTATACACCCCCTCTTTTAAATATTGTATTCAACGTTTTTTGGCTGAGCTTGATTCATTACATTGATTTATAATTGTGTAAATAAGATGTTATTTTACTTTATTCCCTAATTCGCTACGCTCAAACGTAAATAAATTATTTATCCCATAATAAAGTCAATCGAAGGAAGAAAGAACAACAAATACATAAATTCACATTTAGGATTTGTTATCTACATTGCCGTATATCTACATTACTAATACATGTTCTTAGAAACAGCATACATGACATTAACATCTCAACATTTCATAAATCGGTGTAATCTAAAATGACTTTCTTGACAATTATCTCATATCTTTATAACGCACATTAATATGGAAAACACACAGTTATGAACGTACTTTCCCTGTCAGTAATGCTGCGAGTCGGCTGCGCAACCCTACTCCATCGTGGGAGGGGGATGTAGTTGGAAACTAAAACTCAAGACCAACCACCTCCGTAAGTGTTCTGACATAATTTAATGAGAAAATCCATGAAAATAACCCACTTGAAGAACCTATGTAAAATGTAATTAAAAGCCGAATATGTACGCTCATTAACTGCACATTTTTCACCTTTAAGTTCAGAACATTTACAAAAACGTATAAAATATAGAATCTCTTCTTATATACAGACTATAAAAATTGAAATCAGAAAAGTTCAAGATATCGTATTTCACTAACTAAAGAATCGTTCTCGAAAGTAACGAACATCCCGGGAAAGTTGTACATCTTGTTCTTGTAACAAAATCTGAAAAATATAAACTTAAGTAATTAACAATATTTTTAATTAAATTCAAATCGTAACCAAAACGTAAAAAAAAACTTGACTGAATTAATTTAAAAATGCATCTTTATAATACCATACTTCATTTACCATTAACACATTTATGTATTTTATAAATCAATTATAAACCTTGCAAAATTATTCTGCAGTTGTAAGAATATGCTTCTCCTTTTCTATTAGCTTGTCGATTTAAACGATTAACACGATTTATCAAGAATAAAAATGGACCAAGAAAAACTCATTGTTACTGTACAGATTAACTATGACTAGGTGAACTTTTCGGGAGGGTGGGAGGGTATCAGTGCACGATAGAGTAAAATAAACGTGTGTAGCAATGCAGACAACCTCGAATGATATACACATCTATCCGACTTTATTATATATTACTGACGCACGAGAAAATCGTGCGTATCATATTCAATGATTTTCAATACAGTAAAACTTCGATTACCTTAACCTAGGATAAATATATATTCTACCCAGCCAATTATATTGCACAGTTAAATTGGTGTTGTTACTTCTCGTAATGATGTACTAAAATCAATGTACTAAAGAACTATATTCGAAATGGCACCCTTTAAGGAGATGTAAAAATATGTTATTAATAACCGAAATAGTTTATATAAAATAAGAAATAAACTTTTTACTTTGTGCATGTTTCTAATAATTTACAAATTTGTAATTGTTGGTTATATAGATGAAAATTCATTGTATATCTTAATAACCATTTGGATTTGTTAATGTGAGTCAATGCGAGACAAAAAAGGTACAAACAATATATTTCTGCAATATTTAAATTTTTGTAAACTATATACAATGTATAAAACTATTAATGTTGCAAACATGACATTGAATGTACGAGTTTCTACAGAAAAAATCACACATACGCCGAAAATTTCCATTAATTGTTTTTAAAAAATAACCAGAGCATGTAACGAATGACATTAAAATAATACAAAAATGTAATAAATGATACATGCTTTACTTTTCTTATTTCCAAAGGAGACCGAAATTATAGCAGCTATAGAGATAGGATCCTTAGTAGAAAACTTACGAACTTGAACGTTGGTTAGATATGAGTTAACTTTATTTCAGAATCGTTCAAAACATTATTTGAGGAAACAAGAAAGAACCTGACTAGTGGAAACGAGGCTGAAAAAGAGAAACTTATTCAACTCCAAGGTATTGTTACCTATTGTATATCAATTGCGTTTGATATCTATTTATCTACAACGGATCATAGCAAATTAAATTGTTGCTAACTTGACTCATGTTTTATATTGGTATATCCCGTGGTCAATAATATATAACAAACAATGTTTCTCCATATGTAAATTCCTAACTCTCATAATACGTCCAGATAATTTTGTTTACATTCACACATTCTAGTTTTTAATTATTTGAATTATTTAAACTCTACAAATATTGGCCGAATATAAATATAAGGTTTTGTTGCTTGCATAGGTCCATTGGGTTAGATATTGTAGATATGAAATACAAAAAAAAATATTATTTCTATTCTCAGGAAAACTCGAACAACCTCCGATCGCTTTTTATGCACATCACTTGAAAGACTTGCTTCCTGATACTAAGAATGAGATTCTGATATTTGAGAAGACATTCACTAACGAGGGAACAGGTTACGACACGTCCACAGGAATCTTCACGGCACCTGTCGGAGGACTGTACCAGTTTGTTATTCATACATGTGCATGGCAAAATAAATATGCATTTCTTGGCCTGGTATTGGAAGGTAACGTTATTGCAGCAGATGCTAACTATGGTGATGCTTCTCATGGCTGTAATACGTTTGGTGCTTTAGTGAGAGTAAAATCAGGAGAAAAAGTTTGGGTCAAATCAACATCGTCAAGTTCTAATCGCCCGTTAGTTCAAGACAGATACAGGATGAACACATTTAGTGGGATACTTGTCAATAACTGAATTATAAATAAATCAATACTAGTAATTATTAATGGGTTTAAAATCTGATTTCAGTGTTATAACATTGTTATTAGCTGGTGTTTAAACGTAAACGTTTTTTATGTAAACTGCTTCAATGCATTCTTGAGACTCTCATTACATGTAATACGTAACAGGAGTGTTTTGTGAAAATGAGTCGAAAATTGTCGATTTATCTATGATGTGTCTATATATGTTGTGACGAATATTATTCATACAATGTTTTATTTTGCATATTACCATTATTAGTTTATGTTAGTATCTTATAGCAAAAAAAAGACTGATTGAAATTTATTACAGCAAAGAAAGCGAACCTTATGTTTATGTATGTTTTTTTTTGAATGAATTTCAAGCAATTGAAGTTTCTATGTTTATAAAAACAATTAATATACACCAGTTAAATTAAATATATGACAAAGCATGAATGTATATTATAATAAAATAATTGGCATTCTTTACAAAAGAACCAACATAAGTAATGCACTTTAATATAAAAAGTTAATTATTCACTTGTTAAAAAGATTAAGATCAATAAAAATGATCTAGATTCATATTTCTGCAATAGAATTATTTTACTCAACATGAAAATTGTATATCTTATAGTCTAAGATAAACTTCTATTCTGTTCTACTCCTTAAAAGTAACAAATTACTTAAACATCTTTCAAAGGATTTGAAAGTATGTTCACAAAAATGCATTGCATGTGCAAGATTGTAAATATTTGATTGAAGCTAATAGATTAGAAACAACACATAATTGTTACCATGATGTGTATCACCTGGCAACCTTAATACGTCTCCGGAGTTAGAGAATTACCATATCAGTTAATAAGATGGTTTATCGTCTTGATTTGTTATAAATCAGAACTTCAAACCTTGACCTATCGGACTGTTAGTCATGCATATATGCATACGCTTAAAACGAAGATCTCAAAGATTTTGCGAATTTCAATTGTCAATTTTTCTTTGAATATGTCATTATTTCTGTATGAGTATGAACATGTATAAAATTTATAAAAAAAATAATTGTAATTCTTCTGCCCTATTGTGTCGTGTGTTCAGCTCTTCCTATTTGGTGCATCAAAGAACACTGCTGTGTTATTAAATTAGATTTGCGATATTTAAGCTTTTTTATATACTCTTAATCTATACAAAACATGAATAACAGTGAACATTTATGTTAAGATGAATATACCAAAACAATCATGTTTCCATGAAGGAAAACGCAAACTCATCATCATTTGTTTTCTTATAAGGGAACATATTCCCTGATTCTTTTTTTATATTTAATTACGTTATAAAATGGCTATAAATGGTTATAAAACACGTCAGCCAATAGAAATTCAAAAACTTTCAAATGAAATTTGATTATAGAAGTTGAGCGAGGAAAATCAAAATATTTTATTAGAATGCAAGTTGTGTTTCTTCCCTATTTCAGAAGTAACACTACTGGCTATGTAAAACTAAATATCCTAACTATCCTTAATATTTAACAAGATTTCTTTCTTCTGAAAAAATGTTTCTGTGAATCATTTAATACTGCTGCCATCAAATCTAAACTTCTTTTTAAAGAATACGATGTATAACAACGTCGTCAGGATTATATATATATATATATATTCAGTTTTTACTAGGCTTGCTTGACATACTTGGCTTTTGTAAATGACATTATATAAATTTGTGTATATGTACATACAATGATTGTCGTCTGACGAATATTTTGATTACATATCTGAGACAAAAAGTACTTTGCTATGTTTATCAGTATACATATACAACTACATTGTCGCGTTTTCAAATAAATATGGCATGAATACTTTTGTTCTTTTATTTTTGTTGTTCTTTTTTTCTTGGCACACAATAATTATCATCTTTCTGATGAATATTATGCGTTATTAAATGATAAATACTAAGAAACCTCAATATTCTAAACATAATCCTTACTTTGCAACACTGTGCAGCAGCTGATAATTTACTGCAAAAGTTTGTTATGGTATATCTGAACTGTATAATGTATAAAGTATATTCCATGTTGTTATGTTCTTTGGGAGATAAAAAAGAGGCGTATGTGTTTCTGTTTTTTGTTGCAATGACAGATAAGCAGGTGCTAGGGTGCGTTAGGGAAGCTGCACTTTACATTATCCCTCGTGAGTTAACAAACCGAGTCTGCAATTTTCTTGTTATTTTGTTGTGATTAATGCTTCCGAGGGATCACTTTGTCTCCAGATTTTTATACTTCACAACAGCAGGTGTCAAGTGAATGTGGCAGCTGTAAAAAGTTCCTAGTACTTCACTTCAGTGTTGTTACATTTTTCTGGTCCTTCGGGATCATTGATGCCAGCACTATTGAGTTTTGAGAATTGAGTACAGCTAAAGCCGGTGCAAGGGGCGTAAGGGATGTTGCACTTAACATTATCCCACATGTACAGACTAAATCAAACCAAGTCTGCAATTCTCTTGTAATTTTGTTGTGATTAATGCTTCCAAGGGATCATTTTGTTTCCAGATTTTAAATAAAAACTTAAAGGCAATCAGAAAATTTTAAAGCAAAGAAAACATATTATGCTACAAAATTATAATGAAGTATATGTATCTTTGAAAGTATTGTTTGGCAATTCATATTCTTTTGTTCATGTACAAAATTATTAATCAGATACCAATAGCGTTTTGGCAACTCCTTGAGCATGGTTTTTCACGGCCGTTTATGTATTTTGACGTGACGTCATTTGCGTTATACAGACAAAGCGTAAATTTGTGCTGAATGTTAGTTTTGTACTTATCAATGAAATGAATATACTTTTTTCTGTGTGTAACAAAAAGAATATCATGATCGTGTAGCTTTATTACTTAATTTACTGAACTCATGAAATAATGATATTATCCTCGCCAGAGGCTCTCTTGAACTCAGTATTGAACCTACACTCGTTCAATATCCTCTATATATCTTTAAAAGAATACATATGTGAATAAATAATTATCATATTTAATACAAATTTGTATAGTATTTAAATTTTGTAAATTAAGTAAGTATGTATTTTATTATCGTGACATGTGCATATCTATTACATTACACATCTACAACAAAAATCATAGCACCCTGCCCCATAGGCCTATATGTCACCAGAAATCATATAATAATAATAATAATAATAATAATAACAATTATAATAATTATAATAATAATAATAATAATAATAGTAATAAAAAAAATAATCATAATCAAAATCATGTACTTACACATAGAAAACGAATTTGAGTCAATTTGTATATTTCTTACAAACTTAAGAAGAGCGATAAGTAAATCAGATTGATGAATCTTGGAGTATGCTTCGCTTTGTTTTTCCGTGTGGTTATGTTATCGCATTTTAATAAAGCTGTACCCGAATCTTTAATATCGACATCTTTAAAAAGCAAAAACGCAAAAAGATGAAAACATATTAAATGAAAGGTCAACAATGTATTCCATTTTAAAGTTGTTCATGTTAAATAATGCCGCTAATTCTAAACTACCTTTCATTTGTAAAATTAAATTTTGGTTCATAACGAAATTTAAAAATATTAACACGTATTAAATGGAATGAATTGTATGAAATGATGAGTGTTATTTCTGTATTGTATTACAAATGAATACACGTACTTTGATATGTGATATAATATATATATTAACAATATCTTGAAAAGTAAACGAAATTCTCACTGTAATTACAAATGATACCTATGGTAATTTACAGTCAAGAGATAAATAAATCTAGAGTGTGGTATTCATTAGTCTTATCATGTCGTAAATAATATATTTCGTCTTTCATAAGTAAAAAGTATTGGTTCAATTACAGTGCTTACAACAAACCTAGCACATTTTCTAGGAAATTGATATATTACATGTTTAACTTTTTTAATGTTCCCAAATATTTGTTCTACATGGCACACTGTAAGAGGAAATGTGTTTCGTCTTCTACGTGGTTTGAGGGTCAAAGTCTACATAGCCTCTGTTTAACCGTTTATCCTATATAGCGACCAGTTTCTATTCTAAGTGGCAATATCCTTCTAAACTGGCAAAATAATGGACTTCATATTTTTCAAGATACTTTACTATTTCTCTGAGTAGTAGCGAGTAATTGGACCACGTGTCGTCGACAGCGTAATCGTTGATCTTGAATTAAAAACACTCTTAATTAAAGATTATCGGGGACTTGTTTAACGTCACAGGACCAATTGTTACGGCATATCCCATAATCATGATTATGTTTTGTCAACCTGTTGTCGTCCTTTAATTGTAGCCTATTCAAGAAGCGCAAAATACATATCCAGCATCTATACAGACTAGGCAGTCAACCTGTATTACCGTTTAATGTGATAATGAATGTAAACAAGTGTACACCAAAGAAGTATCGTAATAAAAATTTTGACAGGATATATATAAAATGAAAAACGACGTTACAAACGTGCATTATTTTAAATAGCTGAAAACAGGTTAGTTATCAGTAGAGAGGAAGTGCATGTTGGTGACATGAATATATGTTTATTTTTTTATTAGGGATAATTGTAATTAGGTATTTTCTTACTTTGATGTAGTAGAGCGTCACGGTTTGTTAGTCATATCACTTCAACTTTTTTTTCTTTTTTTTTCACTTATATCTAGCACGGAATGTTATATTTTCTAGTGGGGCCTCAAAAATATAATAAAAAAAAGCAGTCTGACCGGGACTTGAATCAGATACCATAGAAATATTGTAACGCGACTCTACCGATTTAGTTAACCGATCGCTTACACACTATCTCCCCTACTTAGTGAACAGTTCTGAACTTCGAAAATAGAAATTACCTTCAGAAATAAAATGGTCAGGTAAATGTCCTATTTATGTACTTATACATTTATGAGAAATGGTTCTTAAAGGTCCATTATACACCAGAAATATTTTTATTTCCTTACTTTTCTGTGTGTCCTGTTATAATTTTCATAAAAAGTTACACATTTCCAATTATCTAAGCAATCTTTTGCTCTTGTTACTTTTTGACAATAAGTACAGATACAGTGATTTTGTATGGAAATCAAATACTACTTTCTTGACATATTTTCCTACTTTCATGACAAAAAATTCTCATTCAGCTCCAATTTCTTTCTGATTAGAAGCATACGGGATACTCTAAAGCAAATATTTGAACGCCATGAAACACGTGTATGCCGTTATCATGTATTCGTTTCAGTGACAAAAATGTGATATTAAGTAATAAGCCAATATATGCAAAAGAAAGAAAACATATATTTCAAAAATAGAAAATTAACGCGTAAATTACCGATATTTTAAAGCAAATAATTCCGCTGTGTTCTAACATTGGCTTTTCTTTTATGTATAAAATATATAGACTTTTAAAATAAAACAACCGGTTAAAGAAATGATTACGCAGTTACCCAGATACGTACCGATTGGAGTTTAATATCAAGATGCGAAATTGATACACGTTAACTTCTGTGAATCACAGTTCCTAGATAAAATTAACGGTTGATATCTTTTAACTTAAGATCTGTTCTATGCCTTGATTTATCTAGCCATAAAATTCGTGACCACAACTTCCAATGAATCCATCGCAATTTATTATCATCACGTTTAAGATGCAGATATAACTTGAAAATTTAAACCTTATTATCTTCCCGAACATTTAAATACTGATAATATATGGGTAGATACCATTTATCTTTACAGGCAAATTGTTCTTTAAAAAAGGTCCGAGCAAAAAAGTTTGCAATAAAGCTTAATTCATTGCAAATATGTTTTTAAATGTACAGTCGACATTGTATTAAGAGACCACTCAAGGGACTGCCAAAAAGTGGTCTCTTAATAAAGTGGTCTCTCAATAGAATTCTTGAAAATTCGAGACTTTACTATATTACAAGTCATAGATATAATAACATCTTTTTATGAAAACAAAAACTGTACAATATTATATAATCATTATGTATTACAGTTTCATAATTACATTTATGCCTTTTGTTTAATAAAGTCATCAATATGTGTTTGTTTGTTTTTTAGTAGAAATTTGTGTACAAATGTGATCTACGCTCTTAATACTATTAACAGGTCATTTGGACCTTGAAACAAAGCATATTGTCATATATTATTAATATGTTCATACACATCTATACACATCTCCTGCTGAACATACTTTCAAATCATCAGCCAGACCTCTAGATAATTTTTCATGCAATGAGTTTTAAAGTTCTTGATTTTTTCAGCAATTAGTTTTCACACTACCGCAATTAGTTTTCACACTACCCCGATTTCAAAACATTAAAGTTTGAGAGATCTTAGATTATCATTATATATTTTTTTATTTTATTTATCTTTTTTTTGTCGAAGGGTCATATTTAATGGGGTACTACATGTATTTTATAAAGCATCAGATGAGCACCTAGAGATACACCATCAGCAATGAAAGGCTGTAATGTTTAGTCCACTACGTTTCACGATTTTATTTTTACTACAAACGATGGCATTTGCTATTTACTCAGACTCAATTCCCTGCACGATTTCCTCATTCAATTTATCCGGTATTATTAGTTGTCTGTCATTTTTTCGCTAGTTCCGACGTCATTTTCAATGATTTTCTGGAAGGGAGGTCACTCTGAGCACATGACAAAACTGTGCCAATGCGGTGTTGTGATACGTTATTGCTCTGACAAAATATGTCACAATAAGTATTAATATTTCTTTTTTTCCGATTTTGAAACGATTGCAATTGTTATTAATTTCGTTTTTAAACGACAATTATTTGTGACGGTCTAATTGACGACCGTTTAATAAATAATTTAAGACCAATGACCATGAAAAAATATTTGTTAGCTCAAACCTACTCGCTAATTACACAGGTGAGAATGTCCGTAGGGACGATTGTTTGTCACGGCCGTTTAATAGATACTTTAACACTGAATTTTGTACATTTGGGCGGACATTAAGTGGCCGCTGGCCGCGATATCAAATCGTCGTTTAATGGAATTAACTTATATAGTAAAAATCATCGGGAGGGATTTTATGCGGCCGCTTAATAAAAAAGTCGCTCAATAAAGGTGGTCGCAAGTACGATGCCGACTGTAATATGTCAGTGCTTATCATTTCTTCAATAGTAGTATCTAGATCAGTGAGCAATTTATCAAGCTATAGATCTAGCTTTTTCTGAAAATAAATAAGTTCATTGCTGACAATGAAAGCACTGAACGTGCTAAAAACCAACAACATTAATAACAACATTCTTGATTGTGTTGATATATCAATGCGCCAATACGCAACTTTAAACATTAAATTCAATCGAAATCCGACTGCGGTATAATTCACATGTATAAGGTGTCTTTATACCATGCAAGCGAAAAAAAAGCTCATATATTGATAAAATGACTTTAGATGTTGGTAAAGATTGATATTTTGAACCCTTTTAAACAATTTGATAAAATTATGTCTGCATTATTCAACTATTCTAATGCCTTTGATGCCACAAAACAGAACAGTAATAAGTGAGAAAATATTCTTCGTTTTGATAACGCTTATGAATTTCAAAATGTGTCTACTCAAACTATTTGCACTGGCTTCCCTAGGTTTTGAAGCCTTCAAGAAGCTAGCAACAGTAATTATTGTAAAGTGTATAGAATGAAATAAACCAAATAAAGCAAACGTGAAATGGAAATCGAAATGATTCTTTTTTATCGACACAAATTTAATTGAAAAATTTATGTATCAATAATACTATTGACGTTTGTTACTGAAACTCACAGGGCTGAAGTATAATATATAATATATAAATATAGCTTTGACCGAACAACGGCTGGATTAAGTCAGATGATTTAGCAACTGAGTCGTTTAGTTGCAATTACAAAGCTTAAGCAGTCACTCATGTGTAAGAATAGTCGTATGCTGTACCAATCACGAAACATGTACAATAGATAAAATACGAGACATAATCTAATATAGTCAAAATGTTATAAGTTATGACATACATCTTAAAAGATTGCAATATCAACTCAAAAATAATTGATTTTAAATTCAATCATGGCTATTCAATAAAATCAATTTAATCCTGTATTTTGAACTGTTGTTATTGCATAAAAGAAAAGTCTCCAAATGAACTGTATGACTCGAGTTGTAAGTCTTTTGTTTTCAGAATAGTAATTGTGATATAGTTGCATTGTGACACCTTTGAAAATATTTCTTCAGTTTTGATCTCATTGCCTTTATGCTAAAATAAACATATACGGGCCTCATATTCAGCACATAGATTTTCATTGAATAGATATAACAGTTTCTCAAACAGGGGTCTATCTTGAAAGTCCCTCCGATTTGTCCAAAATGAAGTTCTCGTTGTTATTTGTGTTTGTTATGGCCGCTGGAATATAAAGTTACTATTTTTCTGAGGCTAAAGAACGTGTATGCTTTTAATTTGAATATGGAAAACAGCTTTGAGAGAAAATGACAATAACTGAAATTAAGGTAGACACAATCGCGAATGAAATTTAGAAAACTGAGGATAATGCCATCAGTACATTAGGCGACATTAAACGAGCAGTTTCAGATTTTACGGACATGTTTGAAGATATGAGAGGAAACATAACGGACGAGATGTTAAAGAGAGGCGATGGGAACAAAATGAGATAAGGTGAAATATAAACATTGTTTTACATTATATCTACATATCTTATAGATAAAACATTTATACCAAAACAGTTTTGATAAATACAAAATAACCTTGATATTGTATTTTGCATTTTATAACTTATTGTTTTTTTTAAAATTATCTTTGGACATATAGGTCTTGATCAATATACTCGTATGATTTGATCATTTAAAGTGAGAAGAAAAATACAACACAATATTAGATTCATCTGCAGAATATGAGAAGCATAAATTTGCAAATAAATTCAAATTTAGTACCTCAGATTATTCCACATACTGTTTTACAGCGGTAGAATATGTAATAACCTTCTGTTGTCGAAAGCTAACAAACAATATTGTTTTATTAATCTGATTACGTTATGAATGACATTAAGATAATAAACGATACAGGAGTTACATTTTCAAGGGAGACTGAAATTATAGGTACACTAGAGAAAAAGGATGCTTAATAGAAAACTTGCGTACTGAATAACTTGGAACTTTGTTAAGATATTAGTTAATAGAACTTTCATATCTTTTTACAGAATCTTTCAAGGAATTATTTAAGGAATCAAAACAAAATCACATCAGTGACATACAGGAAGTTGTTCAAGATATTGTCACCTATTGTATTCTATTTCAACGTGATGACTACTTTTCAAACTTGTGTGAGATAAAATTTTGTTTGATATATATTAACCTACTACTAGTCAATACAAATTAGGTTGTTGCTTACTTGGCTCATGTTTTATCTTGGTATATTACGTGGTCAGTAATATATACCAACGTATGTTGATATAATATGTTGCTTCATATGTAAATTTGTGACTCTCTCTAGACGTTTAAAATGATTTCATTTACAATTACACATTGTAGTTTTTAATCATTTCCATCAAAGCTCTACATATATATTTACAGATATGATAAGGTAAACAAATTGCACGTACTTCACTTCAGTGTTGTTATAAAGAGGACATCAAGAAACTGCTAAATGATTCGAAGATGGGTATCGGGGTCCAAATGCCACAAGAATACCGTGATGCAAGACGAGCACTTTCAGACTCTGCGAAGGACGAAGCGAACCTTGGAAAGAACACCCGTATCGTGGGAAATAAATTATATGTTGGCAATAAGTTAACCAAGAAATTTGTTAATGGGAAAGTATTTATCTATGACTAGAGATGTCGCGAGAAAGACATTAAAATTTTGTCATGGAATGTACATGGACTAAGAAGGAAATTATCAGACCCGGCATTTATTAATCTTATAAAAAATATGACATTATTTTCTTATCGGAAACATGGATATCTAGAAATACACCTGTTAATCTAAACATAAACGGATTTTATAGTGATCATTTATTTGGTAACAAATCGCGTTATGCCCATAGAGGCAGATATAGTGGTGGTATAAGTGTGTATTTTAAACAATTTCTAGGAAATAATATAAAAATAGTGGAAAAAAATCAAAATGGACCTATATGGGTAGAACTTGGTAAGAATCTTTTTGCATTCGAAGAAAATGTTTAAATTTGTAATACGTATATTACTCCAAATAATCTTGTACTTGTTGACAATTATGATTTTGACTTTTTTGAAGCAATAGAAACTGGGTTAGAGAAGTATATAAATAACACATGGGTTTGTGGGTAACAGTAAAAATATCATCCCGAGGAAAATACTGTTCCTACGCCTCGGGTAACAGTATTTTCCTCGGGATGATATTTTTACTGTTATCCACAAACCCATGTGTTATTTATTTTATTACCCCGAACAAATACTGTGATGATCTGAATTTCTCAACTAAATCTAACTGTAAGTAACAAAAATAAGCTAAGAGAAGCAATAACTATACTGTCCTTACCTTGCAAGTTTTAAGTGCACTGTAGGCCTACTTGAGAAGATGTTTTTCTTTTATTCCTTAGGCAAGTGATGATATCTACCAGTCATAAACATAAAATAAGCTGTGTTTTGTTCAGAAAATAAAACACTAACCCATTTATAAGGTTATGATCTGTGAAATCTGATCCTTCTGCATCCAGAATATTCTTCGCATAGTTTTTGACAAAGTGCATTTAGAAAATAACGATGATATCCTACAGATGTCTGTCCACCAACTCTACTGTATCTGTAACGTTTCACTGGTTAAAATTGTTAAATTATCCTTTGTTGCATGCTTTAATTGTCTGCATGTTCCAGTTTGGCACAAAATTATTTACATTACAATTACTTCCGTTGAAAACGGATGTTTCCTGTTGACTATTCAACAAAAAGATATTTAATACGCGAAAGGGACTCTAGGGTGCAAAGAACTAAATTTTATCAGAGTAATATTTACTTCGGCGATGCCCTATCGTCGAAAATAAGAATGAATCGAGAAAAAAATGGCGGCCATTTTATTTAGAAAATAGACCACGTGACCAGATTTTATACTGTTAAAAAATACTGTTACCTATGTAACAGTACAAAATTCGTAGTCACGTGGTACACTTGCAATAACAGTAAGAATAACTCCCACAGGCCTATGGGAAATTAACATTACGAAAAAAGTGAGGGGTAATAATATAAATTACAGGGTAAATGTCTAGTTACAGGTGATTTTAATAGTCGTACCTCTGATTTTTCGGAAATATTAGATTATGTATATTGATGCAGACGATATATTGTCGAACCACCCATGTATTCCTACGCGACACTCACGCGATAAGGTAATTGATAAAAATGGGAGGCGCTTGATTGAGCTATGCCAATCAACGTCATTCGTCATTGGTAACGGTAGATTACACGATGACCTTGGTACAGGTGAATTTACATACCATTCAATGAATGGATCGAGTGTAGTGGACTACTTGCTTTTAAATATTCATGATTTTGATTGCGTCACAGATTTTCAGGTTTTACAACCGAATGAATTTTCTGATCACTCGGGTATCTCGCTTAAAATTCTAAGTAAACAGTCTGTCCAACCATTAAACGACGATGAATCTAAAACAGAAATCATATTAAAATTGGATGACGACAAAATAATGGAATTTAAACAATTATTATTGCAAGACGAAAATATATTCTCAAGACTTACAGATAGAGTTAAAAATAACGAGGATATAAATGAAGTTACTGATTTATTTGTTAATAGTTTAAAATCTTCGGCGCCAATGATTTTTGGTAAAGAGCGGGCCATTTTTAAGTCAAAAACTCGCGAATGCACGTCTAAAAAAAACCGTGGTTTGATACAATTTGTTATAATACAAGGTTAGAGTTTAAGAGAACTAGGAACTTATTTTTAAAAGATAAAACCAATGATAACCTAAGACAACAATATTTACGTTCAAAAATATGTTTTATCAAACGATAAGAAAAAGTAAAAAAATATATAAATTGGGCGAAGCTAAAACGCTAACGAAATTAAGTAAGTCGCAACCGCGCAAATTCTGGAAAAGGGTTAAGAAACAATACGCAAAATATCCTGTTCATGCTAATGATTTAAATATTTCTGATTTATTTACTCATTTTAAGAATTTATATAGCGTGGAAACGAATGACAGATATCAAGTTACGAATCCAATGTTAATAACAGATGACGATTTAGATAGCGCTATATCAATCTCGGAAATAAAAGAGGCAGTTTTTTCCCAAAATAATAATAAAAGCGCTGGGGCGGATTCTATTATTGCGGAGATCAATAAACATTCTTTTGATATTATTTCACCATTTTTATTAGTAATTTATAATAGAATTTTCGATAATGGGGAATATCCGAATAATTGGGGAGCAGGTATTATTGTACCAATTTTTAAAGGGGGAAATGTTGAGGATCCTAAGAATTACAGGAGCATAACCCTCATTAATATAATTGCAAAAATTTATTCTCAAATTTTACTTAATCGTGGTCCGTTAAGCATAGTAAAATTATTGACAATCTATATGGTTTCCAGAAGGGAAAATCCACAACGGATTGCATCTTTCTTTTACACTCTATAATCGTTAAATCATTTTCAGAAAGAAAAAAATTATATTGCTGTTTTCTCGATTTCGAAAAATGTTTTGACAAATTGGATCGAACATTTATTTTTCAGAAATTATGGTCAGAAAATGTAAGTTCTAAATTTGTAAAGGCTATAAGATGTATGTACGCATCCGTTAAAGCTGCTATTAGATATAACAATACAGTCTCGTCTTTTTTCGATTCAAATATTGGCGCAAAACAAGGGGACCCCAGTTCCACATTATCATTTTAATACTTCGTGAATGATATAGTAGAAAATATAAATTCAAATAAAGAGGACGTTTTTAAAATCGACGACGTTAAAATATTTCTGCTGCTCTTCGCGGATGACGCCGTTTTATTTGCACATACTCCTATGGCACTACAATCTATGCTAAATGATTTACAAGTATATTGTCAAACTTGGGGACTAAGTTAATACTAATAAAACGAAAATTATGATTTTTGAAAAAGGCAGACATACAAGTTACAAGTTCGTATATAATGACATAGTTCTGGAAAACGTATTTTTTTTTTAAATATCTTGGGATTAATTTATTTAAAAATGGTCATTGGAATAGAACTCAAAAGAAATTAGCACAACATGCTTCGTTTTCATTGCATAATTTATTTACAGTGTTTAATCAATTAGAATTATCTATTGGAGACAAATTTAAACTTTTTGATAAAATGGTAGGCTCAGTTTTAAACTATGGTGCTAAAGTTTATGGATATCAAGGAGGAAAAAATATAGAAACGATCCATTGTAAATTTCTCAGAAAAGTCGTATGTGTTAAGAAAGCAACAAACCTGATGGATAGACATCTAATGCGAATACATCGTAAATTTATAATGTTAAAATATTGGACAAAATTAATTAGTTTACAAAATGACTGTCTGCTTAAACGTATATATAATGTCTTAAAATTTGATGCAGAAATTTGATGGTGGTAACAACTGGGCATGCCAAATTAAACAGATTTTAAATGATATAGGAATGTCGAACATATGGATTAATCAAGAACATATAACAATCAATTTTCAACATATTAAGAACAGAATATTGGACATTTACAAGCATGAATGGTATAGCAATATAAGAAATTCTAGTAGACTATCGTCATACAGAATCTATAAACGCTCACTCGAAACTGAAGACTATCTTAATAAAGTTAACATTAACAAATTTCGAATATCACTAACAAAATTTAGATTGTCATCCCATAACCTAGCAATAGAAACGGGTCGATACGAAAACGTAGCGCGAGAAAACAGACTATGTACGAATTGCAATTTAAACGTGATAGAAAATGAAGTCCATTGTTTGCTAGTTTGCCCCAAATACTATAGTTTACGTCGCAAATATTTAAAACCATACTATTGTCGTTTGCCATCAATTCATAAATTTGAAAAACTAATGTCTACAACAAATACGCAAATGTTGAATAACCTGTCAATTTTTTTGTATTTTTCATTTAAAGAAAGAACTGACAGCATTTAGGTATATTTTTGACTTTGTCATATATTTTTTTTGTATTTTTCACATGAAAAAAATGGACAACAGTTATTACTTTACTTGTCAAATTTTTCGTATTTCTCATTTAAAGAAAGAGTTGACAGCAATTAGTAGCTTAAATTTATTCAGTTGTCAATTTTTTTTGTATTTTTCATCTCAAGAAAAAATTGACAACAGTTAGTATCCTGTCAAATTTTTGTATTTTCCATTTTAAGAAAGAAATGGCAACAGTTAGCATCTTAAATTTATTCAAGTTTTGTAGCACCAAATACAACATTTCAACTTTGTCAAGGTCTTTATATTATTAATGATGTTCTTCCATTGTAAGATAACAGGAACTTAAATTTATTCAAATTTTGTAGCAACAAGAACTCTCTCTGTAAAACATGAAAATTCGTTAAAGATTATTTATATTGTATATCATGTTCTTACATAACATGATTGTTTACTGTATTGGCTATAAATGTATATTGTCATTTATGCCAAATAAAGAATATGTTATGTTATGTTATATGTTTTTTTTCTGGTCCTTCGGGATCATTGATGCAAGCACTATTTAGTGTTGAGAATTGAGTACCGCTCAAGCCGGTGCTACGGGT